CCTCTCATCCTCCCCCACCCTCCTCTCCATCTCTCCCACACGGACGCAGAATTCAGCAGGCACGGCGCGAGCCTGGTTCTGACGCGACTTTACCCGCATACGAACAGTGCGGACCGCGGAGTATCGTTGTGCGCATCCTCTTTTATTTTTTCCATCCACATCAGTCTACATTCTTAAAAAACAGCAATTTTTCTCTCTCTGAACAGTGGTATTCGGAGCTCCCGGTTTGATTTCCAAAGGAAGGTACACAAGACATTTTTTTGGAATCTACCTCTCCGTGCTGCTGCCATGTGACGAGGTTTCCCCATCCTTTCCTCTCCTCGAAAAGTCGCTGCTGGCGGTGCGCGTGTGTGCTCTGATTTGTGCTCCCGTTCAGAGAAGTGAAGGAAGAATCCCAAGCCCCCAGGGGAAATGGAAGTTTTCACCGTTGGCTTGGTCCTCTGAGGCGGCTGCTGCTGCTGCTGGTGTTTCGGCGATTGGTGCAGGGGGGAAACTGCGTCGTCAGTTCTGGAAAAGGCTCGGGGGGGATCTTGGGTCATTATCGCAGGACCTGCTTCTCAAGATAAGGTTTTCTCCCCCCACTCCCCCCTCACCACTCTCGCACACTCTCCCACCTCCCCCKTCATCCTCCACCGCTGTCGACTCGTTCCAGATGTATTTCCTTGAAACGGTCGGCAGCATCCTCCGGCTCCTCYGCTCGTCCTGACGCGTCGGCGTTCCGGATGCGGCGCGGGCTTTTATTTGTTTATTTATTTRCTTCCCACCTCCACCACTGCAGCTCAGCGTCTCTCTCTGATTGAATGTTGGAAGGGTATTTCAACAGGGTCTCCAACTAACCAGGGATTTTTTTCTTGCCTTCTGTCTACTTGAACGCGAACAGCGCAGATCCAAGACAAACACTGATGGATTGAATTAAAAAAAATTAACAAATCGTTTAAGGGATTTTAACTCTCTTAGAGCTGCAGATTTTCCATTTTCCCAGAAGGAGATACCTTTGGACATAATGAAAGTTATCTTGTTGCTTGTTGCTGTGTTTTGGAGCCAGGAGTGGAAGTCAGCGCTCTCGGATTCAATCATCCATATTGGTAAGTTACTGCACCTTTCCCCCACCTGGGGAAAAAAAAATGCTTCTTTATGTGCGCCTCTCTGAGAGGACAAGCTTCAATCACAGCATTGCTGCTGGTGATGTTTGTGTTTTTGACGCACGGAGGTAGTCCATTAGGTGGACTTCTCTCTGTTGCATCCATATGTCACGCTTTCACTCGGCTTGGAGAGGTTTCCACCGCGTCATAGACATAATCGAAGAAATGCAGTTCAGTCGCTCGCTTCATTTCTTGTTGCTCAGCCTCTTTGCGGTGACTAACATCAGTGTCAGCTGTCTTTTARAGTTAGTAGCTGTCAGACTTTAGAGAACGCTGTGTTTATTTTTCCCTCGAATTCCTCCCAGCCCCGTGTGTCTGTGCGCAAAGAATGCGCGAAAAAAAAAAAAAAAAAACAGGTGGTTTTGGAATCGTGTTGCTGGATGCTGCTCTGGATTATCCCGCACATTTTTTTTTTTTTTACTTTTACATCAGGTCCTGGTGCACCATGGCATTATACCGCRTGTCCCCCTCTCTCTCTCTGCCAGCTACTGCAGTGCCATGAAAAAAAAAAATGTCCTAACGTCTTTTCTGCCTTCCTCCACCACTGGCATAGTGTGGCACTGTTGTGTTGAGCGTGATTTCGACATGAAGAAGCAGCAGCTCCGGCTCAGAGGAAAGGATGGAGAGAAACTACCCCCCCCCCCCCACACACACACACACACGAGCGTGCCTTGCAGGATAAGAGGAGGTGGGAGCGCCTGATCGCCGCACAACTGGGGTGGCTTCTGTAGGGCCAATAAACCAGAGGAAGGCGCGTGGACAGACAGGGTGACGAGCACGCGCGGGTCGAGAGATAAGCACCTGTTTATGCTGCGTGGTTAAAAGATCCCATCTAGATTTAATACACACAAACACATACTCTCACTACCCCCCCCCCCCCCCCCCCCCCCACACACACACACACACACACAAACACACATCATGTCATATTATAAAGCGCCTCCCTAATCCGCTGCTTTGTGCGCCACTGAGGACTGTCTGTAAATCAGCTGGCCGGGGTCACAATAGATAAGCCAATTTAGTGGCTTCCTGGATGTAGTTTGCCAAGAGCTGGATCGGGTTGGAGGTCTCTCCGGGCTCCGGTCCAGGCTGGTGCTTCAACCGAGACGAACAGCAGCAACTGAAAGAGATCCGATCGAGCTGAAAGGGATGCTATCTGTTTGGCAGAAACCCGTAAATGCCAATATTGAATGGATAATTCTGATCAGGTTAAGTTAAAGGGCAAACATTTATGTTGATCTAAGACCTTTCGACTTGATTCGGAGTATTTAAGGGCCACGGAGACGTTTTGGCACAGCTCAGTTGGACGTCTGACGGAAGTGTTGAGTCACAAGTGAATGGAGGCTTCATCCTAAATACAGGATTGTGTTCGTGGATGGTGGTTCTGCTCCTACAGAGGTGGCAGTGTAATCCACTGATTAGACAGATCGCCCTGTGACTGAAAGGTCTGCTCACAGCAGCAGCTTCATGTTGGGCAAGTGTCTCACAGTGAGACTCTGAAACCTTTTTCTTTTGATGAGTCTTTTTTTTGCTGTGTGTCTTTAATACCAGATATTTACAGGCATGGGATTCCAATAATTTTCCACACAGGCTGTCCATTGATCCGTTCTGGGTCTGTTTACGTTCACACATGACATCTTACCTGGCTCTGCTGAACAGATTGAGGGTAATAAATGTTTGTAAAAGAGCTTTGACATATTTAGTAAATGGATTTCTTGTGAATTAGACACATTTTTGTGAAGAGTCTGCTTTACTTTAAGAATATCACTGTAAGGAATCAGTTTGTTTACCAGAACAATACACTTATGGCTGATGCATTTGTGAGAGGGGGACACTACAATAGAAAGCATCCAGACACCTACACAAATTACTGTTCTAAATGATTCATCCATATACTTTACATTTTTCTCCAGTTCACGGACTCAGGAAGTTGGGGCATAGTCAACAGGTGAAGTGAGGTCGTCTGAGAGGTCACGGAACACAGGTCACAGGGCTTCACACTATGCACACTCGCACTTCCTGGATATAATTTGTTCTAAGTGCAATCTAAAATCTAAAGTTAACTTAAAGGAGATACTGTATATCATGCAAAATCCGCTTTCATAGCCGTTGCATGTATTTTGTTCAGTACTTGAGCTTAAAACAGTTAAAGTCTCTCCTGATGCTGCAAAGATGTCTTTAATATTATGTTTGGGTCTTATTTTTCAACCTGTTCAGTTTAATATGACGTTTTTTGAATTATTATATCAAATTATTTGCGACAAAACTTCTAAATAGTGTCTGAAATTACCAACTAAATAATTTCACCGTCTTCATTCTCCTCTGGCTCTGGGTCAGACTCTGGTCCCAACATGTAAGGCTGGATGGACAAGTCTTCCCTTGTTGACATCTTTTAATTCATTTGTAAATGAAATGTTTCTGTGCTGCTATATAGTCGTAAACCCCTCTATCAAACTGGAGTAGTCTACACACCCTAGAGCAGTGGTTCCAAAACTTTTTGTCTTTTGACCCACAAAATATTCATGGCAAAAACTTGTGACCCCAAATATTACTGGTCTGAGTACATGAACTCCGTTTATAACCCTAAAAACACAGGCTTTTTGACAATATAAACAGCTTGTACACAAATATAAATACTTATTTTTACTTATTTTATATTTTTGTAATAATTATAGGAAAAATATTACATCAGCAATTATTTTTATTACACTTTAAATTGATTTCTGGAGATTATCTAAGATGCTTCATGACCCATAATTGGGTCCCAAGCCCAACTT